GGAGCCTAATGGGAAGTGTTTGGGTCATGCGGGAAGACCCCTCATGAATGATTTGGTCCCCTCCTCACCTTAGTGAAAGAGTTCTTGCTCTATTAGTTCCCTTGAGAGTTACCCCAAGAGCTGGTTGTTAAAAAGAGCCTGGCACCTCCTCCTCCCTCTCTTCCTTCCTCTTTTGCCATGTGATCTTCCACCATGAGTGGAAGCTTCCTGACATCCTCGCCGGAAGCAGATGTTGGTGCCGTGCTTCTCATACAGCCTGCAGAACCATGAGCCAAATAAACCTCTTTTCTTTCTAAATTACCCCACCTCAGGTATTCTGTTATAGCAACACCAACAGACTAAGACACCTCCCAAAGACCTAAGCTCCAAATACCATCACAGTGGGGACTAGGTTTCAACCTATGAACTTGGGGGACACACACATTCAGTCGATAGCAGTCCAGACAGAGCACGGCAGGGCTGGCTTGTCTCTTCTCCACAATGTCTGGAGCCTCAGCTCGGAGGACTCAAACAGATGGGGCAACTCACACAGCTGTGGGCTGAAGAGCTGTGTCTGGAGCACCTAATCCAAGCGGCTTTCTACTGTGGGTCAAACTGTGTCCCCCATATTCAAGTACTAACCCTGTATCTGCGAATGTGACCTTATTTGGAAACAGGGTATTTGCAGGTGTAATTAGTTAAGGATCTTGAGATGAAATCATCCTAGATTTTAGGGTGGTCCCTAAATCCAGTGACTGTTGGTCGTAAGAAGAGGAGACATACAGAAAGAAGGCCATATGAAGACAGAGGCAAATGGAGTTAGGCTGTCCCAAGCCAAGGAATGCCCGGAGCTGCCAGACAGAAGCTGGAGGAAGCAAACTCTCCTAGAGTTTTCAGAAGGAGCACAGCTTTGCTGACACCTCAATTTTGGACTTCCAGTCTCCAAAACTGTCAGAGAACACATTTCTCTTTTTCTTTTAAGCCACCAAATTTATGGTAATCCGCTGTAGGACACTAATGTACCTCCCAATGCACCCACCCTTGAAAGGGAGTGGTGACTTCATGACTATGTGAAGGAGACCACAGCATGCCAGTGGGCTGCGCCAGGGGCTTTACTGATAGATGTCATGTGTGAAGATCTCATGGGCTTCTTGGACCCTTGGGCAATCCTCATTGTTTCAGCACTGGCGACTGTGCCGTGGCTGTCTCTGAGGGAGGGACATTTGCAAGTGACTCTTCAGTAAAAGCCCCAAGAAAGCATAATCTGTGTAAATCAGGAGTAGCCAACAGACCTTTCTGGGATGATGGAACTGTTCTATATCTGGATCTGTCCAATACAGCAGCCACCAGCCACATGTGGCTATTGAGCCCGTGAAATGTGACTTATTCAATGACAGAGGAATTGAATATTTCATTTCATTACATTTTAACTCATTTAAATTTTTTAAAATTACTTTTTAGAGACAGGGTCTTGCTCTGTCACCCAGGCTGGAGTGCAGTGGTGCAATCATAGCTCACTGCAGCCTCGGATTCCTTGGCTCAAGGGATCCTCCCACCTCAGCCACACAAGTAGCTAGGACTACAGATGCATGACACCAGGTGAAGCTAATTTAAATTTTTTGTAGAGGTGGAGGTCTGACTACATTGCCCAGGCTGGTCTTGAACTCCTGGCCTCAAACAATCCTCCCATCTCGGCCTCCCATTACAGCTGGGATTACAGGTGGGAGCCATTGCGCCTAGCCTAACTCATTTATATTTAAACTTAAATACTACCTGTGGCTAGTGGCTACCATATTGGACAGCATGGCTCTAGAGAGTTTTAATTTCCTCCTCCTCCTCATGAATGCCTTCTGCGAGACAGAGAGAAGGACACCCGCAGAATGGAAGGGGAGCTGAGGTGACCAAGCAGGGCAGGTGGGTGTCCAGAGTTGAAGCTTCTCAGGCCAATGGAACAACCAGTAAGGACTTGAAGGAGATCATGGCTGGGGTGGGAGGGACAGTGAGGAGGTCAGTGTGGCTGGAATGGGGAGAGGAGAAGAGATGGGGAGAGGATGATTGTGTGAATACTGGCTTCTCTTTCTATCCAAGACGGAATCTCAAAGGGTTTGATCAGAGGAGGGATGTGACTGGACTTTGTTTATGAAGGATCCTTCTGCTTGCTTTAAATTTAAAGCCAAAACTCTCAGAGGTGTGAACACCACCTTCCTGGTGCCCTCCCCACAAGCACAACATCCCCTGGGGTAACTAAGAGAGCCCTCAGTGAACTACAGAGAGAACCAGGACTAGAATCCAGTCCCAAGACGCCCATCTGGCTCTCAGTGTACTGTTCTGGGGAGGTTCAGGAAACACAATCTGTTTCCTTAAAAATGATGTCTTTTCTTATTTGTGTTACTTGGTCATCCTATCAACTTCCCATTTTTATCAACACTGTGAAATTGATGCTGACACTTCTGTTTTGAAAAGAGAAATCTCTGTTGGAAAGTAATTGAGACAAAAGGTGCCAGCTGAGGCTGTGTCTGTGCATGTGTGTGTACACATCTGTGACCCCATATGCCTGTGTTTATATTTGTGTGTTCATTAACCTGTGGTCTGTGGGTGGGTACTGCTGTGCCTGTCTACACATGTCTGTGAACACATCAGTGTGGTGTATATCCCTGACAGCTCCTAATCTCACACACAATAAAGTACAGAGCTTTTACAGTGGTCCAAAAGTTTTGACCTTGGCTACCTTTGCATTCTTGATTCCTACTACCCATCCCCTGGCTTGCTCTGGGCTAGCCAGCCTGACCTCCATGCTGTCACTGGAATACATTTAACACAGTCCTGCCCCAGGGCCTTTGCATTGGCTGTTCCTTCCACCTGGAATTCCCTCCCCTAGATGCCTGCATGGCCCACTCCTCACTTCATTCAGCCTCTGCTCATCTCTTGCCATGGCATCCTGGCCTCCCTAGGCTACTCGATCTCTCTCCATTTTCCAGCGCTCTTCTCCATAACCCACATGGCCACCTGGCACACTGTATTTGTATTTATATATTGTTTTTTATCTGTCTCTTCCCCCAACAGAACATGAGTTCCATGAGGGCAGGAACCTTGACTGTCTCGTTCCTTATTGTGTCTTCCTCCCTCCCTTCCCATCCTACATCTACAATATTGGCTGATACATAGTAGGCACTTGACAAATATTTGTTAAGTGAAAGCTTGGGGTGTTTGCAGGTCTGCATGTGCATATTTGTGTGCATCTCTCCTGGCACCTGCATGTGCACATGCAGATATGTGAGAGATGTGTCTATCCATCTGTGTGTGTCAGTGTGTCTGCCTGAGTCTGTGTGTACGTTAATGTGTGCCTAGTGTGTCTGGGTGTGTTTGTGTGTATGTATCTACTCAGGTACAGAACAGACAGCAGGAAAATCAGTAAAGGAAGAAAGTAGCTTTGGGCACTTCAAAAACTTGCTACCTATTTGCCAGGAAGACACTTCAATGATGTCCATTCACCTCTTCTGTGCAAGTGCTTTCCGGTTTGTGGAGACAGGGACAAAAGTTCTCCCAGGCCTGAGGCCTCTGCTGGGCTCCCCCCAGCCTGTGCTGTAATTGCCGGTTCCGTGCTTCCTGACCCCACTCTGCCAAAGTCCTGTGGTGTCCACAGAGAAAACATACAGCAAAGGTGTGACAAAGGTCTGCTGGAAGATGAATGGAGGCTCTTGAGTTTCATGCTAAGGCCTCCGGGGCCCTTAAAGTGCCTACCACTTTTAGGTTTAGGATGCTTTCAAGTTTAAAGTTTAACATTCGCACTGGATTTCATACCCTGTTAGACTCCAATTAAGACAGATTATGGATTCAACCTTGTGGACTAAAGAAAAACCAAGCTTTTAAAGAATTAACGTTAGTTTTCTTCAGAGTCTTACTGAGAATTGCAACCCGGGAGGAGCCTTCCAGAGAGTTCCGGTAAGGCTGCTCCGAAGCAGTGTTTCAGCCCAGTATACAGGTGGTGGCGGCTCTGTGTGTGCTCAGAAGTTATATTAGAGGCCGGGCTTGGTGGCTCACACCTGTAATCCTAGCACTGTGTGAGGCTGAGGCGGGAGGATGGCTTGAGGTCAGGAGTTCGAGACCAGCCTGAGCAAGAGTGAGACCTCGTCTCTACTAAAAACAGAAGAAATTAGCCAGGCATGGTGGCACGTGCCTGTAGTCCCAGCTACTCAGGAGGCTGAGGCAGGAGGATCGCCTGAGGCCAGGAGTTTGAGGTTGCCGTGAGCTAGGCTGATGCCACGGCACTCTAGCCGGTGACAGAGTGAGACTCCGTCTCAAAAAAAAAAAGTTACATTAGAGTAAAACCTCATCAAGGTTTGGGTGCAAGGGTACACCTGGTTATAGATTAGAAGCATCATCATTAATCCGGTCAGACGTTATCTTTTACACAGGAACAGGCAAGGGCCAGGATCATCCCTTCTAAAAACGCAGTGATCCAGGCAACAGCGTGGGAAGCTGTGTCCTATCTCGCTTGTCGCCTTCAGGGCATTCTTCAGCGGCAAGGCCTTTGTGAGATTCTGCCGGCAAGCAGGATGAGCAAACATAGCTTCCCGCATTTGCTACTTTGTCCCACACCTGGCGCTGGAAGCTTGCGAGTGGACGAATGAATAACGATAACGACGTGATAAATGCAGCAGCAGCACGCGGGGGAACCGCACAGGCTCAGGGTCCCCGCATCCCGTTCCCATCTCAGGCCTCACCACCTAGTACGTGGCTGACTTTGGGTGAGTTATTTAACTCCTTTGAGGAGTGAGTTTTCGGCCACCCACGTGCAGAGGCGTCCCCACCTAGACCCCGTCGCCTCAGCAAATCACTACAAGTGACAGCCCTGCCGTCTCCTCACGCAGCCGCGCGCGCCTAGAGCCAGGGCAGAAACTGGCCGCCGGCGGTGCTCGCACGCATGCGCGGTCCGGGCAGGTGGGCGGGACCACGGGGAGGGGCGCCTGGACGGACGCGCTCAGGGGCGGGGCCGCGCCTGCGCGAATCGCCTGTTATGGCGGCCTCCTGAGTCCCGCAGTGATGGGGTCGGGTGGGACCCCTTGCTGGGCCCCGCAGCGGGTAAGTTCCTGGGAGAGGCGGCCGAACGGGGTAGGGTGCAGGGAGCTTCCTGGCACTGTGCCTGGCTTTGAAATCCGGGCTCCCACGGACCCGAAGGCCAAGTCTCTAAGGCCTGACCCAACTCTTCGCCTCAGTTTCCCCTTTTAAGCACGGGTGTTGGAGGAAGACGTCCACATGGTCACCTGGGTTTCCATCCGGAGTCCAGGCAGCCTCCCTCGGTTCCAGGTTAGGAAGGGAAGGCGATGCCCTAACTGTGTTTGCTTTTTGAGAGGACAATGGTTAACAAGAGTGGGGTCGCGAAGGCGGCCAAACAGAACGAGGAGCCTCGCGGGTAGGAGGTCTCGCGGAGCCGCTGACTCCAACTCTGCCAGCTGTAGCCAGGCCAAGTCGTTCCACACCCCCACCGCGGGCCTTGGTTCCTACAGCTTCCCACTCTTCGTTGCCCTCCGTTATCCAGCGCCTGGCTGTGAACCGCCACGGAATCGTGCCCAATTCCTGATTATCGAGTGAATGGCACCTAGTGGAAAGAAAGACCGGGAGGAGGGAAGTTATTTCTACCTCCTGGTCCTAGCAAACTGTGTTTTGGGACAGCTTGACTAGGGACCTATAGAAGAGGAAGGTGGACAGTGTCTGAGTGTGGCCCCCACACCCCTATGAGAGGAGCCAAAAACACCTGTCATCTCCTGCTTCAGGGATGAACCAACTGGCAGCCCGATCGAGGGGCGGGGTGGGTTCTGTGAGATAAAATAGTGAAGGTAAGAAACCACGTTTGCTCATTCTGCTTGGCAGCAAAATTTCACAAAGGGCAGCCCTGTGGAAGAATGCCCTGAAGAAGATAGGCAGGATAGAGCACAGGTTCCTGCCTCTCTTGCTTGAATCACTAAGTTTTTTTAAAAAGATAAACTCACTGATCGTAGCCCTTGCCTCTCCCTGTACATAAGATAACGTCTGACCAGATTAATGATGATGCCTTTGTAATCTATAACCAGATGTATTTTTGCACCTACACTTTGATTAGATTGTGCTCTAAAGTAACTCCTGAGCACATGTGGAACCTCCACCACCTGATAAATGAGTTGTGGGCTGAAACACTACTTTGGAGTAGTCTTTACTCTCTGAAAGACTCCTGGGTTGCAATCCTCAGTAAGACTCTGAATAAAACTACCTTTAAAAAAAAAAAAACTAACTTTAATTCTTTAAAAGCTTAGTTTTTCTTTAGTTGACAGTTACATCCGCAACCTGGGTCTCCTTTCCAAGCTGTGCCCGGTGAGGAGAGGAGCCCAAAGCCCATCTAGCCTCAGCACTCCCATAGAGACTCTCAGTCAGCTTTTCCTAACTAGAGAAACTGACCATTCCCTTTTTCTGTCTTCCCAGCATTTCCTTTAATAATAATTGTTATATTACTATAGTGATAATACTTACTGTCTTTGTTTATTGAACACTTACTATGTCCTGAGCCCTGAAATTTATCATTGTCTCGTTTACTCCTCACGCAGGCCCTGAGATAGGTACAAGAGGCCTCTTTATTCCCAGGGAGCTTTTTCTGGGGAAAGCCCCTTAAGAGGGAATCTTCTTCCCCTAGGACTTACAATGCAGAGTACATTTCCTGGGAAGTCTAGGGAGTTTGAATTTTAAATTAAAAATTCAAATACAAATTAAGAATTGGAAAGGATTTTTGTCTATATTTAAGGAAACCTGCTGTGTAATATTATGCTCACTTTTGGAAAGAGCAAAGAACATTTATTTTTCTGGAATGTACTTTCTTCAACAAAATTGCACTATAGCAAAAAATGGCGTCCTTTGGTGCACTTTTGACTTTCATGACAACATCAGAGAGGATCTTTTTATTTTTTATTCCCCCTAAAGCTTTATGTGGCAGTCCTCAGTTTTCCCCCAGGACATCTCTCAGTCCTGGTAGAGCCAAATCTGCCTTTAAAAGGATTCGTGTAGTAGGTCTAAGCTGTATTTCCTCTTCCTGGATCCAAGCTGATATCGCCAGTCCTTGCTGGTTGAGAGCTTTTGCCTGGGGGTGAAGTACTTCTCCATCACTTTGACTGACACCAGGAAGTTCTGCACTGATTTGCCAGATTCAGCTTTTCCTCACAACCCACTTGCTCTTTGCTGGTTTATGGTGTCAAGTAGGAAAGCCAGCACAGAGACTTATAAGGAATTGTCTTTTTCCTAAAAAAATTTTGTGTAGGGACAAGTTTTGCTGCCTTGCTGCAAGCACTTACACATAGGAACTCCACTTGTGTACTCAGATCATGAGAACGCCTGGGTCCTATTTTCCAGTTGAAGAAATGGAGGCCCTGCAGGGTTTCATGGCGTGTCTAGGGCACTCAGCTAGTGCACATACCTACCCAGGTAGGAACGGTTCCTGTAGGCAGTCAGGGGTTATGGGCAGGTTTGGGTCAAACACCTGAAACCAACCCCAGGACAAGGAATTTGCTGGTATTTTAGTAACACTGCTATGGGCCAAGGATTCTGCTGAGCACTTTACTGCCCAGTGACACTGTAAGGTGAGACTGGCTGAAGAAGCAGGTCCAGAGAGATGTGATTTTCCTGAGGTCATGTAGCTAGGAGGTGGGAGACCAGAGTTCCCATCTGGTCTTCCCAGCTTCAAAACCCATCAAACTGCTGCTGTTTGATGCTTTTTGATGAGGTAGAACATTTGGTAGGAGGGAGATCCTGCTTTTGACCACTGTGCCTCAGGCATGGTTTTCCAAACTAGTTTTTGCTGTTTCACCATAATTTTTTTATATCTATATATCACCTGTATAGTGATTCCTTTCACTGCTTTTCGTTTAAGTCCATTTACATTTTTGAAAAATTTAATAGGAAAGCTTTAAAACAAATGATGTGTGGGTAGGTGGTATAAGCTTCTAGAATAAGAAAAAGAGAAACTAGATACATAGGGCAAGCACATAAGGCAAAATATTGACAATCTTTGAATCTAAGCAGTGGGTATATGCGTGTTTATTATATTCCCCTAATTTTATCTGTTTGACATTTTTCATAATAAAAAAAGTTGGAAAAAGAAAAGGAAAGGAAACTTTATCACTATAAATGGAAATTCAGATCCCTCACCATGAATAAGAGATTACTATGAAAATGAATATATTATAAACAGAATAACACGATTAAATTCTATCCAGATTCTTTTCCCTGGTCAAGTCTCTAAGACTTTCTACTTAGGAAAAATTTAAACGGAGTTGACAAGGGAAGCAGTGTCTTCCCTGGGAGATGCAGAGCTCTTGGCCACCTCGTTGGGTACATCTACACTGCTCCCCTGTGGGACCTGCCGTGCTAAGGACCTGTTCTCACCTCTCAGGTGCTCCTGTCTCAGGATTAATGTGGAGCCTAGGCCATGGTGCAGTCGGCTCCCACCCCAGCCATGGACGAGGTCACCTTTAGAAGCGACACTGTGCTGTCAGACGTCCACCTCTATACCCCGAACCACAGACACCTCATGGTGCGGCTGAACAGCGTGGGGCAACCCGGTAAGGTCCTGGGCCCAGGTGCCCAGTGGATCCCATTTTGTTTTCTGCTTTCTCACGCTCATCTCTTTGGGGAAAATACTGGGGAGATTGGCTTGTTTCATTGTTATCCTCACACCACTTCTTAAGTGCCCTTCTTTCATTGAGCAAACTCCTGTGCCTTGCTGAGCACCTACTGTGTGCCAGGGACAGGACTTGATTCTGGTAACACAGAACTGGGTGAGCCAAGCTCTGTCCTCAGCAAGCCCAGGGGCCAGCACGTCAGGAAACAGCACTGGGGCTCCAGCTGTCCACTGTTCTGCATCCCCACGGCCCCTTCCCCTGTCCGGCCACCTCTGGGGCCACCTCCACTTGCCTGGTTGCCTGTGTCTCCTCCCTCTGGGACTCCCTGCTCCATGCTCTCCCGAGCCATCTCCCCGGCAGCCAAGGAGATCTTTTGAAAATGCACGTTAAATCGCGGCACTCCCTGATGGGGACCTCCAGTGACTTGTCATTGCTCTCAGGATAATTTACAGATTTCTCACCTCCGCCTGCAAGGGCCAGCCTGACACAGCCTCTGCCTGGGTGTCTTCCCTTATGTCACCCTCCCTCACTGCTCTGTGGCCACTGTCACCTCCTTCTGTCCCTCAGTCACTGTACCTGCTTTCTTCCCTCCCAGCCCTGGTTCCTCAGCTGTCGTCTCAGACAAGCCCTGCCTGACCACCCTCCCAATTCCAATTACCCTGTATTCACTCATTGTCCTGGTGTGATTATTAATATTTCCAATTTCCCTTCCATCCTAATTGGGATGACACATTTTACCAGGGGTCTATAAACTGTAGCCTGTGGGGCAAATCTGACCTGCAGCTTGTTTTTGTAAATAAAATTTTATTGATACATGCCTATGCCTGTTCGTTCACATGTTCTTATGGCTGCTTCAGTGCTACAGTAGCAGAGTTGAGGAGTTGCAACAGAGATCACATGGCCCACAAAGCTTAAAATATTTACTGACTAACCTGTTATAGAAGCAGTTTGCTAACCCCTGCATTGTGTGGTTGCCATATCTGTGGCGCACAGAATATAGTTTTACTGTATTCATGGCAATTGGTACATGGTCCATAATTATCTTACTTGTGTAATGTTTGTTCCGCCACTGCCCCCCTAAGATATAAGCCCCTAGGATGTCGAATTCTGCTTTGTGTCCCCAGCACCTAGCATGGTACTCAGCACAGAGTCCACGTTCGGTGGTGTTTGTTAGATGGGCGGATGGATGGATGGGCGGATGAGTGAAGTACTCCAAACACTGGCGTAAGCCCAGGATGCCGTGGGCGCCTAAAGAGAGGCATTGAACCCAGCCTTGGAGAAGATGCCTGAGCCCAGTCCTAAAAGCTGAGAGGGATCTACCCAGACAGAAGCAAAGGAAAGGCACCGCAGGCAGAGGGAACAGCCTGTGCGAAGGCCTGGAGGCAAGAGCTCTAGTCAGGGTCTTCCCTTTGTGGCCCTGTCCTGGTGTCACAGTTGCATTTTCCCTGGAGAAGGTGGAGAACAGTGAGCCCCACCTCGTGGAATGTAAGGGTGAAGGGAAGAGAAAGGATTGGGAGCAGGTATTGAGTACCTACTCTGAGCTAGGTGCTTTATACGTTTATTATCCCATCATAGCCTGAAATAATCCAGGCGTGGATGCTATTGTCCTCGTAATGCAAATGAGGAACCTGAGGCTCAGAGCAGATAGGTGACTTGTCCAGGATCAGACACCTGGTAGATGGCTCAAGCCTAGACCTACCCACTCTGAAGTCCTTGTACCCCGTGCCCCTGACCACCTCTCCTGGCACAGTGACTTTCTGGTCACCAGATGGTGAGGGATACTTCACATCCTTGTCCTGTCCTCCAGACCTTAAGAGGCAGAAGGGTGTCAGCCTAAACGTAGAGCAAACTGGGTTTGAATCCTACCTCGGCCTCGTCCACGTACAAGGCTATGTGGCCTTGGTCAGCTCACTTAACCTCTCTAAGCCTCAGCTTCCACGTCTGCGGGATGAAGCTGATAATACTGTCTTCACGGCGATTGTGAGGGTTAAACGAGATGATATGGGCCAAGTGCCTGCACTGCAGATTCTCATAAAATGGTGGCTGTTCACGGCAATGGTGGTGGTTGTAACCTTGATGGCCCCAGCCACCCAGTGTGGTCACAGCTGAATCAAATGGGCCTATCTGCTGGTGTTAGTGTATTTCTACCTGGCCTTTAAAAATCTTTGCAGGTGGTCATCGAATTTTCTCAGAGAAAAAGAAGACACCTTGAAATTCTTCTCATTGTGTGTCCTTTCTTGCCTTTCAGTTTTCCTGTCCCAGTTCAAGCTTCTGTGGAGCCGAGACTCTTGGACAGACTCAGGGGCTGAGGGTGGTGATCACCAAGACGCTCACACAGAGGAGCCTCCTCCTGCCGGGACAGGCAGCACAGGGTCCCCTCTGGGAGGTGGCCACAGGCATGAGGGTTTCTCCCTCCAGGCCGGGGCTGACACCACTGGCCAGGAAGGGGCAGGAGCTCAGCTGGACGAGGACGGGGATTTGGACGTAGTGAGAAGACCGTGGGCCACCTCTGATCTCCACCCAGCGGGGCCTCCGAGAGACAAGGTACATCCCATGATTCTAGCACAGGAAGAAGAGGACAACATGGGAGACGAGGCACACGAGGACAGCCCCCACAGTATCATCAAAATAGGTAAGTGAAGGTCTGGCCCACCTGCCACCAAGGCAGCTCCACAGCCTGGATCAGGGCGCAATATGGTCTGAGTGTTGGCTCTGTGTTCAGGCCTGGCCGGGACGGGTCGGGCAGCAGAGGTTATCAGAACCTGTGCCGCCGCAGCGGGGAGAGCTCTCCAGAACCACAGCTCTTTCCTGTGCAAGTCACGCCGCCACCAGCCTCACACCCTTCCGTGCGCTTCCTCACCTGTGGGCCTCTCCTGTGCTGTGCCTCCTTCCTGTCCCCAGCCTCTGCTCGCAGCACATTCCTCATGGCTGTGCAGGTCCCAGTTCAGCCACACCTCCTCCAGGAAGCCCCGCTGCTGCCGCCCCCCACAACCGTGCTCTGCTCTAGCTCAGCATGTTAGGGGCTGGGGGTGGTGGTGCAGGGCAAGGTACCGTTTGCAGAAGCCTTGGCAGGGCTGGGCTGGCAACAGGGAGCCACGGGAGGCTCTGGAGCTGGGGCGTGGCAGATGGAGAGGGACGTAAATCCACCATTAATCAGGTGTGGGACACAGCTGGGAGCTAGAAGCCAGGTAGGGGAGGTGATGAAATGGCAGGAAAAGTGGGGCAGGAAAGAGGTTTCGACAGGGTAGCATCTGCTACCCACGCATGGGGGCCAGAGCAGAGGGGTTTGGTGACTCCACACTGTGAAATCTAAAGACCCAGCACTCTGGAAACACCAGCAGCACTGGGAGCCAAGGCAGGAGTGGGGCGGCGGTGGCTGAGTCCCTGCGGTGTTGTGGGTTTCTTTACCAGTGCCCTGTCCCCCAGTCTCACAGCCCCCTGGGGTGGGGGGTGCACAGATCAGGAAGCGACGAGCGCAGCGTCAGGCAGCTCGGTGGTGGTGAGGAAGGTTTCGAATGCATGTGGTCAGTCTCCACAGCCAGCACTCTTGCCACCCCCAGCGCTGCTCATCCAGGGAAAGGAGCTCTGATTTGAGTCTGTTCATTAAGTCCAGGGTCCCTCATGGTACCTGAGGTCTTGTGGAAAGGCTCTCCCAGCACTGGCCTGGGACAGGGAACAGGGTCAGTGGTTCACACTCAAATACAAACAGACAAAACAACAGCTCTGATGTCTGTCTATCCCTTCATCCACTCAACAAGCAGCCACTGAGCACCTGCACAGTGGCACCCAGCAGGCTCTGTTCTAGACCATTCCAGCAGGGGTGACATGCAGTTTCCTCATCTGTAAAATGGGCATAACCTTGTCTTGTAAGGAATGAAGAGAGATGGCACATAGGAAGCTTGGGTGTTCAATAAATGTGAGCCGCCATCCGCTTAACTCCCCAAGTGGGGAGAAAGGAGACTGGCAGAGAAAGAGATTTGGGATCCCTGCAGGTCTAGTAACTCAGTTAACAAATGGGGTGAGACAAATAATTGTGGACTCTGATGGGGGCAGTGTACAGATCAGACTCTGAAACTGTCTCATCTCTTTGCTAACCCTAGAGTTTCTCATGGGTAGAGTTCCTCAGGCTGGTCTTTTATGTTCTTATGATGCCACTGGAATTGTTTAAATGTACGCCATGACTTTCCACTGGGCAGGAGCCCCCTCAACCCTGGATAGGGAGGCCACTAAGTCAGAGGGCTTCAACCCCCAGGCAGTGCACTGACAGAGCCTCCCTCCTTCCAGGGCAGACGTGCCGGGCATTCGTTGTGAGCATCCTGACGTCTCAGTTGTAAAGAACGTTCGCCCATTCGAGCCCCAGTGAGCACCTGAGACAGGGCCGGGGGGAGGGTGCACCTCTTGGAATCTCTGCACACCAGACTCCAGAATATCATCAAACACGAGAAAAAAGAGTCCCCTCGGGGTCAGCCACACTCGGCTTCCTAGCCTGTGTGTTGACCGAGCTTCGCGGGGAAACTGGCCTTTTCCGAGTCTGGCCGCAGAGAGCTGCACGGCATCCCGCTCCTCTGTCTCATCTCTCCCGGAGCGTCCCATTCCCTCCCTTGCCGTCCTGCCCCGATGTCAGCAGTGTCAGCAGAAATCGCATCTTAGGTCAGTTTTTTATCAAGCTCCCAAAGGACTTGATTTTTAAATCCTCTTTTATTTCCATGTGGCTTTAGAAAAATATCTTGACACATTTTCATCAATTAGAATTCTTTTTCCTGACTGTGACCTTGGGCTGGTCATTTCCCCTCCTTGGGCTTCGGTGACCACCAGCTGTACAAGGGCTGCGAGCTTTGCCTAGATCCGTGGTTTGCAGATGTTTCTGAGCCTTGCTCTTTGAGAAGCATTATCTGGCTGAAGCCCACTATGACCCCTCAAACGAGGTGATAAGGGTACTTCTGCATTTTGTAGAAGAGGAAACTGCAGCTCTGTCTCCAAGAAGTTGAGTGACCAAAGTCACCCTACTAGAAAGTGACAAAGCCTGATTCTCACGCAGCCTGTCTGACCTCACAGTCCTCATTCTCTCTCAAGGGAAGCTGACCACTCCTTGAGTGCAGCTGGGGAGGAAAAACTCACATCCATGAAGCTGCCGGGGACCTCGGGTCCAACCATGTAGGACCGAGATCTCGAGGGGACGGTGCCCCTGGCAGCAGGAATGCTTAGGGCAGCTGGGTCAGGGAGCAGAGGGCCAATTGAGGCTTTGCCAAACCAACTGGAGGGAAAGGATGGAAGGTGGGGAGGGGGCCCCGGGAGCCTCTGCCCCAAGCTTTTCCAGTCATGTCCCTGAGCATCCTTTCGGGTTCTACCCTGCCTCAAGAGGGATATCTGCCTTCCCTGGAAAACCAGCAAACAGCAGACGACCTGACTTGGAACCCCACATGTGCCACTTACTCGCTGTGTGACCTGGGCAGCCTGCTGCACCTCTCCCAGCCTCATTTTCCTCATCTATAAGATAACACTCAAACCCATGTCATTGGGTGGTTTTGAGGAGTCAGTGAGGAAGCATGTGGCATGGGGTCTGGCACAGAGAAGGTGTGTTTTTCCCATCAGCTTTTACATGTAGTGATGCTGGCCTCAGTGTCTTCATCTGTAAAACGGGGATGATCTAGACCAAGTGGAATGTCAGTGGTGCCCAGCCCCAGGCCTGGCTCAGAGAAGGGGTCTGTCCAATGACTGTTCAGTGAAGTGACTCGGTGTCAGGCGGGTCGGTGGATACAGTTCTGTTCCAGCTTCAAACCAAGTGACTGCATTTTAGACCATAGCAACATGGAATCCTGAAAGGAGCGTGTTTTGTTAAAAGAGCCTTCCAAACCACAGTATCAAGTCCAGCCAAGATGCTGGTGGACAATGCATTAGTCACTTATCGGGGCTCAGATTCTAAGTCTGCACACAGGGCAGAAGTGTTTAGTCAAATTTGCCCAGGAAAAGCCTTCAAAGAGCAGTGGCCCAGGGCCCCAGGAGCACCCCACACAGCCAGTTTCTCTCCTGGCTTTGGGACAGTCAGAGTGGCTGGCTTATGTTCTTTCTGGACCCTTCTTTTACATCTTTAAACACAGCAGTGGCCTTCACACAATGAAATGCTCGCTCTGTGAGAGCTCATGGGAACCAAAAAGAACCAGGGACATGCAGACTACCCAGTCCCCCTCCTAGGGCCAACCACATGGAGGAAGGGAGCATAACCCACCTACTTACAGCCCTGCTATTCTCCACTCTCTTCCCTCCCTTGTTCCCCCCGTCCCCACTTCTTTCTCCATGGGCACTTGGTTTGATTTGTGCAAGTCCGACGAGCATGCAAAGCTACCCTACCATGCATGTTTGTGTGTGTTCATTTGATGGCCATTACCAACTCACTCAAAAATACTAGAGTGAGTTCTTACTTGGTAGCAAAAGTGTTTCATATCATTCTTTTTTCTCCTTTATCTCATGTTTCCATTCTCTTCCCCCCCAACTACCAGAATTCTATCCTAATATGTTTTGTGCTTGAGAATACTTACTGTAATTACTTATCATGCTTCTCTTCAACTTTGTTAAAAAAGATATAACTTCTAACTTATTTTGTTAACTTCTAGTGTAGTTCTAAGTGTAAGAAAATATTCTGGAATGAATTGTATTAGCATACAAATATATTTTGTTTGCAAAATTTTCACTTATTGACCATGAAAACGTGTTGAGTGATGCCTGTGTGTTTAGTTAGGTTGAGTCAAGACTCTCGAGACCCTAATCTTTGGGCTGTGGGTATAGCTACCCAGTTACTTGTAAGAGAGTGAGCCACGGCTCCTGGTCTCTGAGTGATGCTCAAACACCTCCTCCCGACTGGTAGCACAGCCTGTGTCTCTACTTCTCTCTTGAATGCCTAACTCCAACCTCCAATGCCATCTGACCATGTTGGCAGGTTGCCATGCACCCCTGTCTTGTGGTTTTCTGTCCATCCCCATTTTCACAGTGGGCATTTCTCTTCTGGTTTCCATCCTGTCCAGAGCACACCATGGCCACCCCCTTGGAGGATGTTGGCAAGCAGGTGGGTAGGTCCCGTCCACTTCCCATGGCCCCGAAGGGTCTCTGCAGAGCCTCACGTTGCCTGTCCTTCCTTGTCGTCTGCCTTCCAGGTGTGGCGGGGCGCCCTGCTCCTGGCGGACTATATCCTGTTCCAACGGGACCTCTTCCAAGGGTGCACCGTGCTGGAGCTTGGGGCGGGCACGGGGCTTGTTAGCATCGTTGCAGCCACCATGGCACGGACCGTTTATTGTACAGGTAACTAAGCAACATCTCAGGCTGAGGGGAGGTAGTGATCTTCACAAGGCACGTACTGACTGTATACAAGAGGCAGAGACATGGGGAATTGGACATTGCCTGCTGTTAATTTTGCTATCCTGGTCCACTGGTTTTCTCCACCCTTTGACTTTTTTCTCAATGTCAGAATAAGCCAGCAACACCGAGTCAGTGGCCACAGCATGACCTGCAGGTCTCACAGTAGGTGTCTGGCCCCTCTGCTTACACCCCTGAGAAAGAGCACACATCTCAGAAAACCATGAGAAATATGCCCTTTTAGAAGGCTTTGAAAACCAGTTTATTGGCCAGCCATGGCAGCTCACGCCTGTGATCCCAGCATTCTGGGAGGCCGAGGCAGGAGGTTGATTGAGGCCAGGAGTTTGAGACCAGCCTGAGCAAGAGCGAGACCCATCTCTACTAAAAATAGAAAAATTAGCTGGGTGTGATGTTGTGCACCTGTAGTCCCAGCTACTCAGGAGGCTGAGGCAGGAGGATCACTGGAGCCCAGGAGTTTGAAACTGCAGTGAGCTATGTTGATGCCACTGCACCAGTCCAGCCTGGGCAACAGAGCAAGACTGTCTGAAAAAAAATAAAAAATAGAATATCAAAACAATGAGTAAAATATAAACCACTGAAGTTCTCTTATACATGTCAGTAATAGGCCAAAGGG